TTAAGCCTTTGTGTATCCTTGCATATGAAATGGGTTTCCTGGATACAGCACACTGATGGGTTTTGGTTTTTTTATCCAATTTGCCAGTCTGTGTCTTTTGATTGGTGCATTTAGTCTATTTACATTTAGGGTTAATATTGTTATGTGTGAATTTGATACTGCCATTTTGATGCTAGCTGGCTGTTTTGCCAATTAGTTCATGTGATTTCTTCATTATGTTGATGCTCTTCAGCATTTAGTGTAATTTTGGAATGGCTGGTACTGGTTGTTCCTTTCTATGTGTAGTGCCTCTTTCAGGAGCTCTTGTAAAGCAGGCCTGGTGGTGACAAAATCTCTGAGTACTTGCTTGTTCATGAAGGATTTTATTTTTCCTTCACTTCTGAAGCTCAGTTTGGCTGGATATGAAATTCTGGGTGTGAAAGTTCTTTTCTTTAAGGATGTTGAATATTGGTCTCCACTCTCTTCTGGCTTGTAGAGTTTCTGCCGAAAGATCTCCTGTGAGTCTGATAGGCTTCCCTTTGTGGGTGACCCGACCTTTCTCCCTGGCTGCCCTTAGTATTTTCTCCTTCATTTCAACCCTGGTGAATCTGACCATTATGTGCCTTGGGGTTGCTCTTCTTGTGGAATATCTTTGTGATGTTCTCTGTATTTCCTGCATTTGAGTGTTGGCCTGCCTTTCTAGATGGGGGAAATTTTTCTGGATAATATCCTGTAGAGTATTTTCCAGCTTGGATTCATTCTCTTTGTCACATTCTGGTACACCTATCAAACGTATGTTAGGTCTCTTCACATAGTCCCACATGACTTGGAGACTTTGTTCATTCCTTTTTGTGCTTCTTTCTCTAATCTTGGTTTCTCGTTTCATTTCATTGAGTTTATCATTGACTTCTCATATTTTTTCTTCTGCTTGTTCAATTTGGCTTTTGAAGCTTGTGCATGCTTCGCGAAGTTCTCGTATTGTGTTTTTCAGCTCCTTTAATTCATTCATATTCCTCTCTAAGTTATCCATTCTTGTTTTCATTTCCTCCAATCTTTTTTCAAGGTTCTTAGTTTCTTTGCATTGATTTAAAACATGTTCTTTTAGCTCACAAAAGTTTCTCATTATCCACGTTCTGAAGTCTAATTCTGTCATTTCATCACAGTCATTCTCCGTCCAGCTTTGTTCCCTTGCTGGTGAGGAGTTTTGGTTTTTTGTAGGAGGCAAGTTGTTCTGGTTTCGGGTGTTCTCCTCCTTTTTGCACTGGTTTCTTCCCATCTTTGTGGATTTATCCACCTGTCATCTGAGTAGTTGCTGACTTTTTGATTGGATCTCTGAGTGGACACCCAGATTGTTGATGATGAAGTATTTCTGTTACTTGGTTTTTCTTTTACCAGTCTAGCCCCTCCACTGTATGACTGCTGAGGTCCACTCCAGGCCCTGCTTGTCTGGGGTGCACCTATAGCAGCTGTGGCACAGCGAGGGATGCTACCAGTTTCTTTTTCTGCTATCTTTGTCCCAGGATGATGCCTGCCTAAAGTCAGTCTTTTGGATATAGAGGGGTCAGGGAGCTGCTTGAGGAGACAGTTTGTACTTTATAGGGGTTAATTGCTGAGCTGTGCGCTCTGTTGTTCATTCAGGGCTGTTAGGCTGCTATGTTTAATTCTGCTGCAGCAGAACCCATTAAAAAAACCCCTATTTTTCTCAGATGCTGTGTCTCGGGGGGGGGGGTTGGAGCTTTCTTTGTGAGTGTCCATTTTGCTGTCCTGCCCAGCTAGGAGGCAGTCTAGTCACTGTTTGCCTGCCGAGGCTCTGCTTTGCTGGTATGAGGTCTACCCTGTTGCTGCAGGCTCTGCCCTGCTGCTGCAGTCTCTGCCCTGCTTCCATGGGCTACGCCCTGCGGTGGAGTCTCTGTTGTGGCAGGTTGCCTCGGCAATGGCAGGCTGCATCAGCAATGGGAGTGTAACCTCAGTAGGGGCGGATTGCCTCTGTAATGGCGGACGCCCCTCCCCCAGTGAGCTGCACCATCCTGGGTTCTACTGTGCCCACAGTGAAACTCTCCACCTGGAGCATTTGGAATCACCGTTTTGTTTGTCCCACTGCACTGGCCAAAACGCTGTTTCCCTGAAATCTCCTGGCCTGGCTCACTGTACAAGTCCTGTTCAATCAGATGGATATGCCAATCTGCCCTCTCAAGTCTCAGATTGCCGGTTAATCAGGGCACCCGGACCAGTGCGCTTTGTGCGGAGTGCTGTGGAGTGCCGCTGTGCTGTAGCGCTGGCCGCCGGCTGCGCTGGTCACCGGCTGCACCAGCCAAAACCACTGCGCTGGCCTCCCACGTCTCATTTATACCTGGGAATTTCCCCGTTCTGTGGGCAACAAAGATCCATCTGGAAATGCGGCCCTGACTCACCCTCCGCGCGTTCACCGAGAGCTTCAATCCTGGGTTGTTCTCACCGTGCCATCTTGAGTCGGTCCCACTCTTTACTTTAATTAGATCCCATTTGTCCATTTTGGCTTTTGTTACCATTGCTTTTGGTGTTTTAGTCATAAAGTCCTTGCCCATGCCTGTGTCCTGAATGATATTGCCTAGGGTTTCTTCTAGGGTTTATATGGTGTTAGGTCTTATGTTTAAATCTTTAATCCATTTGGAGTTAATTTTTATATAAGGAGTAAGGAAGGGATCCGGTTTCAGCTTTCTGCATATGGCTGGCCCGTTTTCCCAACACCATTTAATAAACAGGGAAACCTTTCCCCATTGCTTGTTTTTGTCAGGTTTGTCAAAAATCAGATGGTTGTAGGTGTATGGTGTTATTTCTGAGGCCCCTGTCCTGTTCCATTGGTCTATATCTCTGTTTTGGTACCAGTACCATGCTGTTTTGATTACTGTAGCCTTGTAGTATAGTTTGAAGTCAGGTAGAGTGATGCCTCCTCCAGCTTTGTTTTTTTGTTTTTTTTGCTTAGGATTGTCTTGGCTGAGTGGGCTCTTTTTTGGTTCCATGTGAATTTCAAGGTGATTTTATTTCAGTTCTGTGAGGAAAGTCAATGGTAGCTTGATTGGGATAGCATTGAATCTATAAATTACTTTGGGCAGTATGGCCATTTTCATGATATTGATTCTTCCTTTTCACAAACATGGAATGTTTATCCATCTGTTTATGTCCTCATTTATATCCTTGAGCAGTGGTTTGTAGTTCTCCTTGAAGAGGTCCTTCACATCCTTTGCTAGTTTTTAGTGCCTAGGTATCTTATTCTCTTTTTAGCAATTGTTAATGGGAGTTCACTCATGATTTTGCTTTCTGTTTGTCTGTTATTGGTATTTAGGGATGCTTATGAAAGTCTCAAGATATAAAATCCATGTTCAAAAATCACATTGATTTGTCAGCTTAGAGACAATGGGGTTTTCTAAATATACAATCATGTTATCCTCAAATACAGACAATTTGACTTTCTGTTTTCTAATTAAATCCCCTTTATTTCTTTACTTGTAGGCCTTGATTATTAACAGTCTTACCTATGAGAGCAAGGACCAGCTTTCGAAAAGTCTCTAAAATACTGCATAGTTGTGGAATTAAAAGATAGGAACAAGCAATAGGTGTAACTCCTAAAGATGAGTGGTCTCTCCTGAGCCTCTTAGGTAAAAAACTTTTGATTTTATCTTAAAATGCCATATTCTTACATATTTTTGATGATGTTTTCTGATGTAAAACATTCTGTTGTGCTCAAAAGAACCTCCATGATAGAATTAGTTTCAGAACACAAACTTGAAAATGAGTCCTGGATTTAAAATGAGAATATGTTTAGCCACTAAAGCTATATACAACGTCACTCCACTTTTGACATTTTTTCTTCCTAAGCTCTCCTTTAAAGGCGAACTCTTAAGACAAAGAATTTCCATAAATTTGTCAAGTACCTTCAAGTTGAAAGTCTCATTAGAATCCTAATGGATGCAGAAATAAAACCAACTTTGAGATGAAATAAATACCTCAAACTCTAAGCTATAGTTTTTGTTGCTGGAAAATTATCTGATTCTCATACCTCAATGCTTTGGAAAAAACAATAAAAATCAAATGGTGTAACAGCTATGTAGTTGGCTACCTTTAAAATTTGCCTTAGAATTGGATAATCAATAAAAACGATTTACTATATATCTAGTTGAATGAAAATTATATTCCTAAATAAGGTTTATTTATTAGGCAGTTTATTCACATACGTTTCATAATTTAAAACATTTTAAAGTGTATATACACACATACATTTGGACACACATTCAAATGAACACACACACACACACACACAGACGGAGAGAGAAAGAGAGACTGCAAATTAGAAAGGAAGATAAGTGCACCACAGGTAGGGCATACTTTCTCTAAAGACAGCTATGCATGCCTCTTTTGTTGTCGTATGTGTACACAGAGACATTGCTGCCAAAGGCCAGAGTCTCTGTGGAATTGCTCTATACTTCCCTTGTTGTTCTCCTACCCCTCACTTATCAACCCAACTATTGGGAGAGAGTGTTTTCTGTTCTGTTCATCCCACCCTTGGACTACTCCACAGGTGAGTGACTTTCAAAGTTTTCTGAGAGGGGCCCAGCCTACACCTATATGCACACTGACATCCACACACTGTTGGGCATGTTTCTCTGCACACAGAAGCTACTCAGGTAATTTTTGCTTCACTCCCCTTTACCTGCACATGTAATTGCAGATTTTCTGAATTGTGTTCTTTATTCTGTCAAAGCATTCAGGCAAACATTTCTTTAGTTCTTCTGGTTTCAGTGACATTAGGATGCATCTTAAGAGCTTGTAGGAGATTTGCCCTGTCTCCACTGGTCTTTTGGATAATTACTTTGGATGATTTTCTTTAATCCCTCTCCTTGGTGATTCTGCAAGATGCCACAGTATGCCTCTTTGCTGACAGTCTTCCTTCTTGTAATTACTTCCTGCTCTGTGCTCCTTTGTTAGAGACCCTGAGGCCAGATGAGGAATAGTAATTGTCATTGATCTCATAACTTGTCCTCAGAGAAGCAATGCCATAAACAGACCTCATATTTAAAATACTGCAGGATGTATTTCTGCCAAGCAATGTACTTAGGGCTTAAATATAATACATGGTTTTTCCAAATGGTGGGCATTAAGGGAGAGTTTAATGTACTCAATAAGGACACAGACATTTGAGAAGTTGGGTCATTTTTCAGGGGGTACAACATCAGGGGTTATGTATCAGAAAAATGATAGGAAGAAATGCAGGGAAAAATAGAGATGTCAGAATTTTTTTTAGTAGAAATATTTTCTACCCAAGAATTACAGAATCTAAGGATTGAAGGAACACTTTCGAACACTTTGTCTAAACTCATATCCAATGCTTGAACCCTCTGTGGCAGGTACACTGTATACTGGTTTCAATCCTAGGGGAAGACTCTAAATATCTCACCACACTACACATTGGGGTGTCTCAATTTCTATCACTTGCAGTTGTCTAGTGAGATAGAGCATTCATACACAAGTTACACAAAGCAGGTTTATTCCTTACAGATAGGCAGCAAGGGACAACAGATGCCTAAGATTCGTGGTAAGTTGGTCTGCCCAAGGCTCAGGAAAGCTGCCTGGGACTGACGGAGTCTTGTCTGTGTGTACCCCAGTTGCAGTGAAGCTGAGTGACCCTCAAAAGCAAGACCACCAAGGGTTTCATATTACAAGAGTAATGTGACTCGCTGGAATAAGAATTTGGGTAGGTCAGTGGCTGTGAACAGCATTTTCTTCTTGGGGCATTCTAAGTGTCTCAGCACAGGTTATAAACGAATCAAACTTTGAGTTGGTGATAGGTAAAGGGGAGTAAAGCAAAAATTACCTGAGTAGCTTCTGTGTGCAGAGAAACATGCCCAACAGTGTGTGGATGTCAGTGTGCATATAGGTGTAGGCTGGGCCCCTCTCAGAAAACTTTGAAAGTCACTCACCTGTGGAATAGTCCAAGGGTGGGATGAACAGAACAGAAAACACTCTCTCCCAATAGTTGGGTTGATAAGTGAGGGGTAGGAGAACAACAAGGGAAGTGTAGAGCAATTCCACAGAGACCCTGGCCTTTGGCGGCAATGTCTCTGTGTACACATATGACAACAAAAGAGGCATGCATAGCTGTCTTTAGAGAAAAGTCCTGGGAGGGTGGGGGATGGGAAGTAAAGTCAGACCACCATGGGCTTAAGCCTAGATTTCTGGTGAAAGCAATGACTGTTGTTCTTTTTGTGTGTTGTCAGACCATAAAGAGAATACAGCTGTTCTGTCTGCAGAATTTCTTTTCTTGGCCCCATGGAAAATGATAACAGTTTGTTTTATTCATCTTCCATTTGTTGAAGCTGAAGGAGTCCAGTGTTTCATTAGCTTGATCAAATGTCCCTTGCAACAATATTGACTTAGACGATGGCCAATAAAGATGTTTCCTGTAAGGTAAAAGCCTGTCACTGCTGACATTAGAACAGGTATGGGCTAGCTGGAAATGCCTCTTTTAACATTGCAAATGTGAACAACAAATGGATTTTAAAAACATATGCACTCTTGGTGAATCTTTCTCCTATGTAAAATATAATTTATTTTAAATTCAGAAGGTGATTTATTTTATAGATATAGACTATAAAATGCTGTGATTAAATTTAATAAACAAGTGCTGGTATATTATTACATTAAAAAGATGATAACATTTGTCTTTTCACTTTGCTTTAAAAGCCAGAGGGGAAAAGAACTACCAAAAAATATAGACTTAAGCACCCAGGAACATTATAAAGAAGCTATCTAGATTAAGCAAAGAGTACTAAAAAAAGGCACTTACTAATTTGAGTATACTCTTCTGAAAGTCATAAAGCCACTTTCCTTTTCAAAAATGTGCACTATGCTTCAGAGAACGCTTGGATCTTTGGTTTTGCCCAGGTTTCCAACACTTAACCAGGGATGGATGAAAGACCTTGGACACCCTTGCAAGGATCATGGGACTGAAGAAACTTCCCTTGACTTATTTCTTGTTCCCATCTTAACCTCTTCCTAGACCTCCTGTCTTCTAACTTGTAACTCATCTTTTTCAGTTGTATATCATTCATAAGTTTTGATGTGTAGCACTTTCCCCTAACTGTGATGTGATTTGTGTTTGAGATTTCCACTGCCTCATGCCCCACTGGATTAGATGATTTCCAGGTCTAGTGGACACCCAGAGACTTTTCATTGAGACGGCCTCTTGTGGATGGCATTCCTGCAGGGTCCTTCCTTCTCTCTTGAGCAGAACTTAGACAAAAACAAGCACATTTGCAGCAAGTTTTAGGGCATTAAGGAGAAAAAAAGGAATGTGTTGAAGGATGCATTGCTAGAAGAAGTAAACACTTATAGATAGGAAAGAAATCCTGTGGATTATTTATTGTTTTTTTCTTTTTTACTGTTAAAGCACTTTGGGGTCAGAGGACAACCAGAACAATTTGAAATCAAATGAACTGTTAATAATAAGGAAAATTTAATAAGGCCTTTGTATACAAGGTAAAAATATAAAAATCAATAGTTTTTCTCTGTTCTGGCAAAAAGCATCTAAAAGTAGAAATGGAAGAGAAGTTTTGTGTGTGATATAGCAACAATATCCATAAAATACTTAGCAATAAAGATAACAAGATATAGAACTTACATGAAGAAAATCATAAAACTGTTACTGAAAGACATAAAGCAAGAGCTGAGCAAATAAAAAGACACACCATGTTCTGGGATAGGAAGGCTTAAAATCACAAAACATCAATTCATCAAAATTAATAGATGAAAGTACAATTCTCAGTAAAATTCTAAATGTATTTTTTCTTTGTAGAATTGAAAAAAAAATCTTCAATTTTATATGGGCTGAGTGCAGTGGCTCATGCCTGTAATCCCCATAGTTTGGAAGAGTCAGGCAGAAGGATTGTTTGAGGCCAAGAGCTCGAGACCAGCCTCACCAACATAGTAAGACCCCCATCTCTGCCAAACATAATTTAAAAAATAGCTGGGCATGGTGGTGTGTACCTTTAGCCTTAGCTACTCAGGAGGCTGAGGCCAGAGGATTGCAAGAGCCCAGGAGTTTGAGGCTGCAGTGAGCCATGATTGTACCCCTGAACTCCAGGCTGGGGGACAGAGTGAGACCCTATTTCTAAAAGCAAAGTTTATATGGAAAGACAAATAGTCGTTAATAGAGAAATTTTTGAAAAAGAACACTAACCAAAAGTGACTGCTTCTCAAGTATCAGAGCATACTAAAAAGCCATAATAAGCAGGTAGATGGTAATGCTAAAATAATTGACCAATAGCTCAGAAAAGCTGAAGAAAGAATCAGAGTAGAACAGAGTACACAGGAGAATATGCAGAATTCACCCAAAATATATTTGTTGCGTGCTTACTATATGCAAGGTTTTTGTTCTAGGCATGGAAAATTTAAGCATTTCTGTGTAGATGAGAAAAGGATAGATTATTTAATAAATGGATCTGGCACAACTGGCCATTATATGGAGAAAAATAAAATTAAACCTCTCTCGTGTTCTATGTATAATACATTTCAGTATCAAAATATAATTTTTAAGAAGTTAAAAACATAACTCATATAAATATAGATTGAAAACAGCTCAAAGATTTATTTAGTTCATTAATGAGGGAACCAGCAGATGGTAAAGCTGGTTCAAAAAGTATTTGAAGAACAGAGATTTATATAGTTAGTCTAGGACAGGCAGGCTGGAACAAGTGCACTAAGAGACAAAACTGGTTAATGTTCCTCAGGGAAATAAAACTGTAACTTGAGTTATTTCTCCATTGGACAGAAATAATTTGCCTCTCTATTGGAGAAAAACCTAAAAGTTCACATGAAAAGGCACAGAGTCTGGGTCCTAATCAATAGTAAATAGCAAGTTAAAAATGCTCCATCTTCTGGGCTCTAGGGCCAAGGGATTTAAATAATCCTCTAATGGACCTATTAGGCAGCTCTCTAATATGACAGTGAAAACACAGGCAGTCATTCTTTTGCTGTATTTCCAAGTTTTGGATTTTAAAACAAATACCAGATATATTAAATAATTAAGTGTAGACAATAAGGTAATTGAAAAAACACCTGCAGGGATTGAGGAGATTTAAAACAAGACAACATTCAGAAGCTGTAAAAGATAGACTAAGTAAAGTTGGGGGAAAAAGCCTTTCCACGGAAAAAGATACTATAAACAAAATCAATCAATAAAAGGGGTTTGGAAACATATATATAATGTAGGGGATGAGCAGAGAGTTAATGTAAAAAGTTCTTACAGACTGATAAGACTATAAATACTCTTATCAGTTGAAAAATGAGCAAAGGATATTAAGAGGCAATTACTGAAAAAATAAAGATGCTCAAATTCATTTACAGACCAGGGAAATACAAATTAAAGTAACAATGAGATAACATTGTACCTGACAAAATACCAGAAATTTCAGAGTGCTATGTATCGCTGGTGGGCATGCAGGGGAAATAATATTCTCATATTCTGCTGATGGAAGTTGAAATTGTTATAAACTTTTGGAAAATAAACTAAGAAAAGCTATTAAAATAAAAAACATTCATATCCCTCAACCCAGAAAATCTCACTTCTGAGAAACTATTTAAAGAAAAGCCCCAGGTGTAAGAATATTAAAGGACATTTATCAATAGGAAATGCTGACTAAATTATGAAATATTCATCCTTTATAATATTATGCCTTGATTAAATAAAAAAGAGTTGGCCCTAGATCAGACGATTGGAAGGGGTTTCCATGAGTTGTTATGAGAAAAGCAAAATATAGAAAAGTCTGTAATATATAATCTCATTTTTATAAGACAAAAATTCAATTTCCACCACGTTTGTGTGTATACAGATGCCTATGTATAATTATATCAGCATGAAGAGAAATATATAAAGATAGATTTGCTAGGTAGTTAATGTGGGTAACTAGGGAAGAGATAGAGAAAGAAAACTAAGCAAAATAAGGAAAGAAAAATAATAAGGTGCATTGCAACAAATGCAGTCAGGCCCGGTCTGTATGGTACAGATGCCCAACTGCTGTTAGGAAGGTTTTCTGTGTGTGTTGCCTATGGAATATCTTTCCTTTTTCCTCTCCATCACACAAGATTTGCCTTATTTTTCAATTTGGATTTATGTCTTTTTAAAATGCTGAGGTGAGCCTTAAGTTGGGCATAGGAAAGCCAGTCATATTCGGGTTCCAGGCAGATGAGGAAACAGGCTCAAGAGCTTAAGCCACTTTCCAAAAGTCACTTTACGCTGCCCTTCTTTTTTTGCTTCTGTAAGATAAGGTGATTTTCATTTGTCAAGCTCCCAAATTCTTTGGGGAAGAACAAGCTGACTTATTTCCACACACGTGAGGCAAACTGTTCTGCCTCAGTGCTTTTCTGTTCTTTACTTCCTACGCAGCTGCCACTGCAAGGGCTGAAAATAACCCCAGGACACTGAATTAGAGGCATCCCACCACAGTGGGCTGGGGAGCCAGAGTCCTGCCTCTGCTGTCTTACTGTCAGGGAGGAAACAGCTTCAAAGAGGTTCTTTCTTCCCAGAACACCCCACACTCCACAGGTGATCTGATTTGGGCTGGAGGAAGCAGACTCTGCACCTGACATTTCCAGGGCCTCTTGGGGAACAAAGCCCGATTGCTGTCAAGAGAACTTGATAACATGCTAATTTTCTGATTTTGAAAGTGACACATGTCTATTGTAAGATATTTAAACATTCAGTGAAGTATACAGGAAAAAAATTATTTTTTTTGGTAATCTCGTGGAGAGATCACAACTTTTACTAAAACTTTTTTAGTGTTTAGTATATATAGGTTCTGTCATTTTTTTCTTCCACTTTTATTGCATTTATTCATTTAGCAAGTATTTCTTGAGAATTGGTTATGTGCTAGGGACTATCTTGGATAAAGAAATGAGTAAGGTAGAGAAGTTTCTGCCCTAATCTAGTATATTCAAGTCTATTTAAGAAAAATGGTTATCATACTATAGCTATATTTAATACCCTGGTGTTTTTACTTAATATTGATCACCAGGGTGCTCCAAAATCTCTACAGTAGTCTTTGTGACATCCATTGTAATGTGTACATGTATCACCTCCTTCTTCTATTTCACTCCCCAAGGTTGAATGGGTGGTGCCATCGTCTTGCAGATCTACCTCTTGGCCACTCTTGATTTTTCCAAGACCAGCACCAGAGACAAGCTGAGCCAAAACATGCCTTTCTCCAGGGTTTTTGACTTTAGGACCACTGAGCATTTCCAGTCTGGGGATGGAGATAGGAGACTTTGAAGGGTGCAGCAGTTAGATCTCTTGTCAAGCTGGCATAGGAGAAAATGAGACTGAAAAATAGACATTGGTAGAAGCATATGTGTGTGTGTGGAGAGAGAGAGAGAGAGAGAGAGACAGAGAAAGAAATAGAAAAAG